TCCTAGGATATTGTCTAAAATTTTTTGGAGTGCTGGTTTGGTATTCATGAAGTTCCTAAGGTACTCTTTGTCATGAAAGTATCTTATTTCTTCAACAATTTGAAAGATAGTTTTGCAGGGTACATCAATCTGGGTTGGAGGCTGTTTTCCTTTAGGGCTTGAAATATGTCACTACAAGCCCGTCTTGGCTTGAGGGTTTGAGTTGAGAAGTGTGCTGTGATTCTGATGGGCTTTCCTTTGTATGTGATTTGTTTCTTTACTCTAACTTCTTGTAGAATTTTGTTCTTCTGTTGAGTTTCTGAAATCTAAACTATTACATACCTCTGTATAGATTTTTTTTGATTGAGGCTAGTTGGAGTCCTATGTGCCTCACTTATCTGTATGTCAAGTTCTTATCCCCTGCTTGGGAAGTTTTCTGCCATCACTTCTGTGAACAGTTTTGTTTTGGTTTTTTTTTGTTTGTTTTGTTTTGGTACCAGGGATCAAACTCAGGTCCTTGCGCTTGTGCAGCAGGTAGCAAAACCACTGAACTAAATCCCCGGCCCTGTGAACAGTTTTCTTACGTCATCTGCACTCTCTCCTGTTTCTTCATTGACTCCGATCAGTTGTATGTTATTCTTCTTTGCATCGTCTAGCAGCTGCGGGATTGATTTCTTGTGGTCCCTTATAATTTTAAAGCAATTTTTCTTTTCCTGGTCAGTAATTGCAATCTTATCTTCTACATCTGAATTCTGTCCTCACATTGGCTCATTCTGCTGTGTAAGCTTTCAGTGGAGTTTTTAATCTCCTAGAAATCTGTTTGCATCTGTCTTATGGATTCCATTTGTTTCCTATGTTGGGATTCCATCATGTTCCTCAGCTCCTCTAGTTTTTTTTATGTGTCCTCTGTAGATTTATTAATCATGTCTTGCACTATGCGCACAATCTCTGCTGTTATCTGAAAAATTATTTCTGATTTCATTTTCTCCAGATCCTCTTGTTGCCAGTTCAGGGAGTCCAGGTGGTTGAGTATCAGAGTTTTCCCTCTCGCTTCCCTTTTGGGTTGCTGTAGGTGATCTGGAAGTCTGCTTTTGAGGCTTGTTTACATGTCTTCTCATTTTGACGGCGGGAGGGCGGGGGAGGGGTTCCTGGTGCCCATGTGGTTCACCTTCTCTGCACTGGGAGCAGTGCTATGGTGGCCCAGAAGCCTCCTCTTGGGCGCTGAGCGCGGCTCACCTCCTCTGCGCTGGGAGTGGTGCTATGGTGGCCCGCTGCATGAATTTTTTTTAAATGTTTATATTTTTAGTACTCTAGAGTAAAATGACTTAAGAGATTACTAATTGTCTAAGTGTCCAGAAAGTAGAATAAAAATTCCATTCTCTTTTTTTCCTTTTTCATTTCATTGACTAGAAAATTCCATCTCTGAGCTGTTCCCAAAATATTAAGTCAATCCAATTAAGTAGCCATAGCAATTGAATTTTGAAATACTTTGTAATGAAAAATGTAGTTTTGAGGCAGGCAGCAGAACCACTAAGCTAAATCCCTATGAAAAATATAGTTTAATGTGTGACTATAAGGCCAAGTGATTAATGAAGAATCTCCAAAGTGAGTTGTTGCCTTTAACCTTAATATTCCATAATATTCCTTTTTTTTTTTTTTTCTGGTACTGTGTATCAAACTCAGGACCTTGCTCTTGTGAGGCAGGTGCAGCTCCACTGAGCGAAATCCCTGGCCCACCATAATATTCTTTAAAAAGCAAAAAATAAAATAGGGGTTGAGAGTATAGCTTAGTGATACAGCTAGTACTTAGCATGTGTGAGGCCCTAGGTTCAGTCCCCAGCAGTTCCCTATCTCCAAAAATACCACAAGGTAGAAGGATGTAGGAAATTTCCTATATGTTCTTAGCTAAATTGTGAAGTACATGCAGACATTATAGCCTATTACCTTTCATGTACAGTAGATAAATCAACATTCAGAAAGTGATAGACAAATTGTGATAAAAGTAGAATTCGATATGCAAGGTAATTTTTTTTGTCACTTTTCCTAATCTATTTTCTTCTGTATACTTCCTAATCCTATCTTTTTTTTTGGTACCAGGGATCAAACTCAGGTCCTTGCACCTTTGAGACAGGTGGTGTAACCACTGAGCTAAATCCCTAGCCCTCCCTGTCTTGGTTTTTTGTAAATAATTATTTATAGTTAATCCTAGTTCCTATATAAAGTAAGGTGAAATAAATATAATGAAAATGGTATTTACTTTAATAATACTTTATTTTCTTCTTAGTTCCTTCACTAATTGAAGAAGGAGAAAAACAGAACAAACGTTTTAGGTCATCAGAAATACCAGGCAGAGGATCTGTCCCACTGACTTCTTTACCACGAATGAGCCAGGAGTCACTGACAGTCAAAGAGAAGTTCATACCACCTGAGCTCAGTATTTGGGACTATTTCATAGCCAAGGTAATGAAAGTGTTACTGAAATCAGTATTTACATGGTCAAATAGAAATGAAGGTGTTTAAAGTGAGTGTACTTGTTGGTGTTTCCAAGTATTTTCCCATTCTGGTTTAGAAAAGTTTTATTTGCATGAGTTGTTAAATAAGATAAAAGAATACTTCGTTAAATGTTTAGTGTTAATGTACTTGATAGTGGTTACGGAATCACAACCACCAGAAATCGAAGTGCCCTGATCATCTGTCATTCATATCCACTCTGGGGGGAGTGCTGGGGATCGAACCTAGGACCTTCAAATGCTAGGCAAGCACTGTGAGCCACATCCTCATGACCTCATTCTGTTTCAACACTAAGGGCAGTGTCCTCCATTGTTTTAATAGACACACATTCAGTTGCCAGTGTTTAGATAAACATACTCCCTCAACAATAGTGTTCATGGGCTGGGGATTTAGCTCAGTGACACGAGCCTGGCCCTCAAGTGCAAGGTCCTGAGTTCAGTCCCCAGTTCTAGAAAAAAAAAACATGGTTCAAACTTAATTTCCACAGCATATTAAATGTGAGTAATTGCATAAAACACAAGCGAGCCAGCAGCTCTTCATTTATCACTATGAAAATAACATGCACCTCATAATCAGCACCTAGTCAGGTCAGTTCTTTCAAGTCTGTCTGTGATTGATCACTTAGCACTTGTTACTCAATTCATACAGCACAGCATGTAGTTGTTTTACTTGTCTCCCATGATACATGTACTATTTTATAAAATGAGATAATCAAAAGAGGGAATTAGGGGTGGAGATTTAGCTCAGTGGTGCCACCGCCTGCCTTGCAAGTGCAAGGTCCCAAGTTTGATCCCCGGTAACAGAAAAAAGAGGGAATTGGCCAACTAAGATGAAAGTTAAAAAAAAAACAAAAACGCAAATACTAGAGTGAAATTCAAAAATTAAATGAAGTTAGAAAAAATACCAAATGTATGTTGACATTGGTGTCAAAAGATTCTAGATACATAAACAGTGGAATTCAGTGAAAGTAAACTTGGCAACATAAATATAGAAAACAGGAAATTATGAAGATGCTCCAGAGATAGTGACCTTGTAAAAAAATTTACATAAAGTAGATTCATAGCATTAAAACTGCAAAGAATAAAATGCTAGACACTGATAACTTAGAAATAGGACAAGTTTGTTAAAGCATAGAAAAGATGCTTGCTTCATATCCTGAGTTATAGTTAGAAGAAGGCAAACACTTGTCAACAGCAAGAGAGTTGTTTTGACAAATATTTTTAAAGTTTAGAGAACATTTGTAGCTTTTTACCATTGACTATTAGACTATTTTTACCATTTACTAGACTGTTAGACTATTTTACCATTTTTACCATTTTACCAGTGACTATTAGAATTGTTTTGTGTGATTTCTACTTGTATATTCATTTTTATAGTCCTAATGTAAGGTCTATATCTGTATATTTATGTTTTCGTGTGATCAGCCAGATCTCTCACATCAATTTCTAGATGTTTTCTGTACTGCCTTGCATTAATGAGCATATGTGTATTCTCTGATGACACCATCCCCCAGGACTGTTATGCTATGGCTTTTTTTTTTCATGTCCTAGATCAGTGATGGCCAACCTTTTAAAGCTTTCAGTGCTAACAAACAGCCCAATGTGGCCCGTAGTGCCATAGGTTTTCCACAACTGTCCTAGGTGTTTCAGGAATTGAAGAGAATTTGTGTTTCTTTGTTCCTCATTGTCTCTACAAAATCATTCAACAAATATGTACTAGGCACTTTATTTGAGGATACAGATCTTTATTTCCTATTCACTGTTGAAGGATAGTTTTGCTGAATACAAAATTATTGGTTAGCAAAGTTTTATTTAGCTGTCTTGTTCCTGGATCTCCTTTTTAAATTTCTGCCTGGTCTGTCTGCCCTTGCTTCAGTCAATACCACAGCCTCAGGCTAGTTTGAGATTTTAGTCTTCCCTAATTGTTTGATACTGAGATCTCTGTTATTTGATAATGTTCATGGACATGAAATTTAAAGACACCTTCCTTTGGCAGAGAACTGGAATTGCAGTCCTTACACCTCATAAGCATGTTCTGTAAATGAGAGATTGTATGTACAACAATATATGCTATATAGCTGAGGTATATAGTAGGCTATTCTATCTAGATTTGCTTAGGTACAGTCTGTTTGCACAACAGGAAGGTTGCCTAACAAACAACACAATTCTCAGACTATATCCCTGTTTGTTAAGCTACCCATGAATATATTAGTCCTCACTACAGGCTTTGGTAAAATTATGCCCATAGATCTTGAAGAGGAATGAAAACATTTCCTCACCAACAGATTCACACTGTTTTATCCACAGTTGGTAGATTTTCTTAAATGGCTCTCTGTGTGCATTTGGTCAATTTCCAGAGGCTGTTTTTGAAAACTTAGTCCAGTTTTTACTGTCACCTTTTGTCAAGATGACTTCCCAAGCTACTTAATTAGCTGTTGTAGAAGCTTTAGAAGTTCTACCCTCCATGATATGTTTCTTGTTGGACTTCCCTAGATCCAAGATTTTATAGCTTTTCTTTTCAAACTTCCTAAGTTCTATCCTATCTTCACTTTTTTGGAGGGAGTGCTGCTGGAGATTGAACATTGAACCCAGGTCTTTGTGTGTACCAGTCAAGCTAAATTCCCAGCTCCCTGTCCTTACTCTTAACATATCTTACCTTATAAGTCACTGAGAAACAGAATCAGACAAAAGTCTTTCATCATCCTGGCATAAAACTGTAATCCAGTCTGCATTTATTCATATCTTACTCTTTTCTCCTTTTACTATGGAGGAAGTCTATGTCCTATCAGAGACCCTTTTCCCCATTTCTATTCTGAATCCTGTTCTTTTTATTTTTTCCTATGCTTTTGGTACTCTGACTTTCTATTTATTTGTTCTTTTTCTTCAGGACATGAGTGTACTACAAAACCTCTCATTCCAAACCTCTGCTTTGGCCCTAACACCTTATAGCCACTGTGCCATTTCTCTGCTTCTTGTTCACGTTTTTTTCAACTTTTCAAAAGTATATGCACATTTTCTTTCTAGTGTCTTACAGTATTTCCATTTCGTAATTACTCATTTGTATAACCCATTTACCCCACTGAAACTGCTCTTGTAGATCCACGTCAAATATAACCTCTAACATTTTTGTATCGTCATTTTGATTTGACCTGTTAGCAATATTTAACATACTTACCACTCCCTCCTTGAAATTCTTTTATCTCCTATTCCGTTGATTCCAGTTGCTTCTGACTTTTTTCCTGTAAACTTACCGTTGATTCCTTCATAGGGTCCTCTTTTCATCCTTCTGCTTCTAGTTGACCCTTGATTCTTGACCTTTTTCAAGAGTTAGGCTTTTGTTATTTACTTTCCCCAGCTCCTCCCTTCTGTCTAAAGCCCTTTGATTTTAGTAAATGGCATTTCCATCCTTATAGTTGCCCAAAAGTCCAGGAGTCATTGTTTTTTCTCTACTTTCTCTGGCTTTATCACTCTATCAACAAATTAATGCTCTGTCTAAAATGTTCTTTAAATCTGATATTTCTCTCCAACTTTATCCTGTACCTATGCTGCCAATTCTGGCATTAGATTTTGATTTCTCTATTTCTACTCTTACTATTTGATTTTTTTTTCTCATAAGAAAGTGGTTATAGTAATCTTCTGAAATTATAAATCTCAGTACTTCTGCTTAAAATTCATTATTGGTAATACATTGAGCTCCTTACTATGGCTTATGGGTTTCTGCCTGAGCTGTTATTTGCTGTTTTCTTTTAACCTTTTCTAACTCTTATTCTCTTGCTTAGGAGGTTTTTGTCAAACTCTTTTTTTTCATTCCAGACTTTCTCAATTAGAATTTTTCTACATGGTATTTTCACTGCCTATGATGCTTTCTCCCTTCTTGTTATATGGTCTGTTCCTTTTTGTCCTTTAGGTCTCAAACACTACTTTGCAAAGAGACCTTCCATGATCACCTTATCTCAGTTCTTATTGTTCTCCATCTCAAAATATTTTTGTAGCACTTAATAAAATTTTTATTTAGTTTTCTGTTTTTTGCCTACCTTTACCACTAAAAGGTAAACTCTGAGGGCAATGACTGTATCCATGTTAAAGTTTCTTATGTCAAATACACTTTTGGTTACATAATGGAAACTTGAGAATTTTTGGTAAATCGATGAATAAATAAGGAAATTGTGGAAGTGATGTGAAAGGCATAGTACAGCAAGTACTAGTTACTTTACTTTTTTTACTTTACTTTCTTATAATGAAATATTTACAAATGAGATGACTTGTTACTATTAGAATATATTTGAATATATTTGAATATATTAAATCAGATATTTTAATGATAAATTACATAACTTTTTTTTTTGTTTTAGCCTTTTTTACCCCCTTCCCAAAGCAGAGCAGAATACGACTCAGAGGAGAGTCTGGAAAGTGGTGGTGGTGATGATGATGATGATGATGATGATGATGATGATGATGATGATGATGTTGATGTTGTTGTTTCAGCTTCAGATTTCCATCTCCAAGAGCATTCTAATTCCAATTCATATAGGTATGGAATATTTTATTTTAAGTTTCTTTTAAGAAATCATAAATCAGATTTCTTTAGTGCAGTGTCCTGAGTTTGATCCCCAGTACCAGAAAAAAATATAAAAACAAAAAGTTGAACTATTTAAAAATTGGAAATTAGAAGTCTTTATCACCTACATTCAGTTGGTTCCCTGCACCATCTGTACATAACTACTTTTATTGATTTCTGGTTTGTCCCTCTGTTCGCAAAAATAAACAAATACATCTATATAATTCTATTTCCCCTGCTTTCTTGCACAGAGTAGAGCACCCCATATATAATATTTCAAAATTTTAAAATTATTAATACATACTAGAGTTCTCTCCATATTAACTCTTTAGAGATCATAGCTCATTATTTTTATGGTTATAGTAAAATTCCATACTTCAAAAAGGAGTTATTGGGGCAAGTATAGCTCAGTGGCACCACGCCTGCCTGGCAAATGCAAGGTCCTGACTTCAATCCCCAGTAAAAAAAAAAAAATTAATGGAGTTATTTACCCAGTACTTTTCTGGTAGACAGTTTGGTTATTTTTACTCTTCTGTTATTGTAAATAATACTGACCTGAGTTACTGCATGTGTGTATTATTCTTATACAGGTATATCTTCAGGATAGATTCCTAATAATGGAGTTGTTGAGTCAAAGGTAATGTACTCATCTAAATCCCTGTATAAATCTTTGACAGAAACCATTTTTGCTTTATTTTTCAGTTGGTCATTGATGCGATTGGCAATGGTACAATTGGTGCTCAGCAATTTGAAAACCTTCTATCCCTTTGCAGGTCATGATCTTGCAGGTAATAAATATCTTAGTATGAACTAATGGTATGACTGCCTTAGTTTTTATTCAGTATACTTTTAAACAGTTGAAAAAAGCTTAAAGACTTCCTGTTGTAATAGACAGGTTTCTTTCAACTGAACAAATCATCTTTAAATGCGCCTGTCATTCAGTTAGGTACTTGATGACAGTATCCCTTTTTTTCAACCTGCTGAATTTCTACTCCCACATCTCCCCTGTTAAAATGTGTGTTAATAATTTATCTTAGGCTTTCTTATAATGAAATGTAGTGTTTTATTTCAGAAGACAAATGGGGGTCAAATATATTTTTCCCCTTTTAGAGCTTCCAGTTAGTTCACCTCTTTGTCATGCGGTTCTAAAAACTCTTCAATGTTGGGAACAAGTTCTTCTTCGACGACTTGAACTCCATGGTGGACCACCTGAAAACTATATCTCAGGTCATACCTCTGAAGAGAATTTATCTGCAGGTCCTGCAATTCTCCGCCACAAAGCTTTACTGGAACCTACAAACACTCCTTTCAGGTAGGTTTTCCTGTGTATACTGTTCTTAAGTAGGAATTTTACTAAATCACAGTGTTGTCAGGTGGTATTTAGAGAAAAAGTATGTAAGACCTATATTTAATTTTCTGTTGTAGGCTCATGTGTGGGTCTTTGTGTAATGACTATGGTAGTACAGAGGTAGAAAATTTTTCTTGCAAAGGTCCAAATAGTAAATATTGTAGGGTTTGGGGGATGTTCTTTTTACAACTCCTGACCTCTACCATTGCAGAGCAACCATAGACGTGAAAGCAACCGTAGATGTTAAGACAGTATATAAACATGGAGGCTTGGCTGTGGTCCAGTAAGCTTTATTTTTTAAAATATGAGACAGGCTAGATTTGGCCTATGGTCTGTAGTTTATTGATACCTGCTCTAGAGCAATGTTGTTCGAAATAGCCATCAATAAATATTTTGCTACCCATGGTAAAAGTGAACCAAAGGGTAAACCAATGCTATACTTGCTTCATCTAAAAAGTCTTATGCAAAAAAATGTTTACTGAATTCAGCAGTTTGCTTACTGGTTTAGTGTTGAGGTTTTTTTATGTTCTTGTAGAAGCTCTTAACTTATTACTTCTCAACAGCAAAATGGAAAACACTGAGTAGCTCTACTCCTAGATCTCTTCTAGAAAATATGCCTATTTTTGTTAGATCTCATGTCTCTAGATTAGGGGTCAGCCAACTATGGCTAGCTTCTCGGTCCAAATCTAGCCCTCTTACTGCTTTTATAATTATATTATAATTATAACTAGGAGTAGAGATACTCAGTGTTTTGCATTTTGCTGTAGCATTGTAGCCATACTTGTCATTTGCATGTTACAGGATGACTATCCTTCATCTGAAATGCTTGGAACCAAAATGTTTCTTTCAGTGTTGAGAATTTCTTAGGTTTTGGAATATTTGCATACTTTACTGGTTGAATCTCTCCCTGTATACTCCAAATCTAAAATTTTTTTTAGCATCATATCAGCACTTAAAAGTTTTCATATTTAGGAGCATTTTAGATTTTGGATCATTTTAAATTAAGGATGCTCAACTTGTACATATGACTGCTTTCCCAGTACTTTGGCAGAGTTGAGCATTGTGATACAAACCATATGCTCCACAAAGCATATGATGTTTACTATGTGATCTTTAAGAAAATGCTTCTGGCTGCTTTCCTAGATCATATGGTGTGATTCTAGTTAATTTATTTTAATAAACATTCATAATATCCCAAGAAATTGTGGTCAATTTAATCAGAAATATCCAAAGTATAGAATTAAATTTATTATCCATAGATCCAAACATCATCTGGCACTGTCTGTGAAGAGGCTTTGGCAGTATTTGGTGAAGCAGGAAGAAATTCAAGAAACTTTTATCAGAAATATATTCACAAAGAAACGATGTCTAAATGAGGTTTGTATATATTAAGACTTGTACTATTCTATTCCAAAGTCTTTTGCCTTGTGGGAGTTTGAGATATATTTTACAGATATTTTTTGAAAATTAAACATATATAATGTGAGAACAAGTGATTCAAAAGAAGAGTAACATTTTTTTTCATAAATCAGTTTAAAGAGATTAAAGATATTTGGGACTTTTTTCTTAGATATTTTTTAAGATTCTGTATCTTTCTCTCTCTTTTGATTTATTACAATCAATTGTTTTAAAGACAAAGTAGAAATTTCATGTGATGGTTACAAGAAGTCTGAGAAGTTTAACAGAACTGGGTTTGAATACTGAAAACATTTTAGACATTTTTTTTCTTATTCTATAGATTGTGTGTAACTAAATGAAATTTTGCAAACTCAAATTAATTTATAACTATTCTGTTATTGGTTGATTATGCTTTGATGTTATAATGTGTGTGTGGTTTTTTGTTTTTGTCATTTAATTCAACGCCACTAAGAAAGCACCAGTTTGTTAGTATGGGAAACTTCCATCTGAATGAATATGAACATTTTACTTCCTTAAGAAAAGTTTTGCTATTAAAAAAAATTAGGTGAATAAACAGTGGTGTAGTTATATAATTGATTTTTTAATCTCCCCTGAACCAGTAACAAAGGGTTCAAAACTATAAGCTGGTCTGTGGACCACATTTTGAGTAGCACTGAACTAGTCTGAAGGAAGAGGAATAGAATGAAAAAAGAATTAAGATGTGTTATGTACTTGTACCAACTCCCCAAAATGAATGTAATCATTTTATGCTGCAAACGTGTAGTAATAAAAAATAAAATGGGAGAAAAAACAAAATATACTTCTGTTGGAGAAATAATAGAATGACTTCACATTAGAAAATTAAGCAAGATGACATCAAACCTTGAATAGAAGGAAAATTACATATATCTTATTGTCTCTCATTTAAGTAGTAATTTGTAAGAGACAACTGTATGTGCTATTATTTACCATTTCCCTAATTTTGTAAATATATTTAAATTGATTGTACTAGGAAACAGAATATACAATATTTTTGCAGAATGAAAGATTTTTTGACATGAGTACCTTGAAATTACACTGAAATCTTGGCAAATGTAAATGTTTCATTTGTTAACCTTATGTAAACTGTGTCTGTCTTAGTGTATGAGTTACACTAAGAGAGAACTGAGAGTGTGTAATTTAAAGTAACTTAAGAGTGTGTAACTGAGAGAGTGTAACCTAGTTACACTAAAAGAGAACACTGAGAACATTTCTAGAAATGTTTGGATAAAATTAGAATGAGTGTGCTAAAGAAGATTATAAGACTAATTAGGAAATATGTACTGGAAAGGGTGGTGTTAAATATATCTTTCCCTAAAATAATTTATGAAAAGTTAACAGCATTCTGACGTAGTATATAAAGCGTTGCTGCATTGTTCTGTATAAAGTATGTGTTTACTTGCCTTGTTATTTTGTTTTCTCTAGTGTACCTTTTAACATGAATATCCAAATTTTGAATGTCTTATTGATTCAGAAATTAAATTATTAAGGGTGTATGGTAGGATAACCAAGGCAGAATACATAAAAATAGTAGATAATTAATACATCTATAGACTTTTACATTTGTTACTTTTATTGCGATTATTTTAATTGAAAGAGTGAACGTAAGTGGTGAACTAATAATTTTGTAATCAAAAAGCTAAATATTTTTTCTGAATTTTATTTTTTTATCTGCAAAATGACTATTTCACCCCTGCTTTGCAATTTTTGATTAGTAGACTTATTTACTCTTCCATTCACTTTGAAGTTATGAGCCATTTTTTATTACTGTTTTACCATTTTATTCTTATTCATAGTACTCTTAGACTTTTTGATGAGAGAATATGAAAACAAAATTTTATGTAGCACATATAGGTTGAATGGAGTTAAATAGAATCTTCATTGAGTTGGTATGAAATTATTTCATCTTTACTGGATATTTGACTACTCACAAAATTACCTTCACTTATTGTTATAAAATCATGGTTATGTGTAAATCTTGGGGGGAGATGAGGAGGAGTTCCATACTGCTGCTTTATTCCTTTCCAGGCATGGCAATTCTACCATTTCTGACCTATTTCTCGATCTGACCTTAAAGTCCTAGCATATCCTCAAATCTTTTCTTTTCCTATATAATATAGCTTATTGGTACACAGATTTTTAAAGTACAACGTCATCCCTACTTGTACATAATTTGAAAATTAAGTACTCACTCCTGCAGATAGACTGTCTGAGCCATCCTGTCAGAAAAATGGGACTTGGCAGATGTACTCTTTGTTGCCAGTTCCCTTTTTTGTTTTATTTCATTTTCTGAAAATTAAAAGTTTTGAACCAACTTTTTCTGTGTTAATATCCTCCTTGAGTGGAGGATGTGTGCCTCCACTTATTTATTGACTATTTTTGGCTAAATCAGGATGACAGAATTTAAAAAAATAGGAATGGAAATTTTCCAATCAGGTTTTCCTGAAGGGTTTTATAGCATGGAAATAAGACAGGGTCATGTAGAAGAGAACAGTTTCATTTTTCATTGGTAGTATTCTGGCACAAGTGGCTCTGAATTTTTAAATATGAAGTACTTTAGATTCAATTTTGCCTTAATATCAGCATTTCAAAATAAGTAAAATTTTTATGTGGTAGAATAAAATTTATAATGGTGGTTAATGTGTTCTGAGCTATTTAGTTGTCCTACACCCTAGCCATACACTCTCATAATACTTCTTTTAAGGTATAAGAACTTTAAGAATAGTAATTCAGTTCTATATTCTTTTCTACTCAAATTTATTTAAAATAAAATTTTTTTTAATATCTCCCAGTATTTTTCATGTTACATCTCATTTTTACTCTTTGTCGTGTGATTATTCTTTCTTGATGAAGTCATTAGGGGACAACAGTGAAGCCATCAAAAATTCTATGATGGAGGAACCAAACATCAATAAGGTACAAAACATCATTCAACTGAAATTAGAAATTGCATTCTTAGTCAGATCAAAATCTTATTTTGATGTTGACCAGGCTATTTTCAATGGAATTAAAATATTATTCCCTCAAGTTATCTTTCACTGTAAATATTGCAAACATAAAAATCATTTTTTTTTTTTATTAAATAAGAGAATGCAGTTTTAAAGGGAGTTGAATGTGTCCTGCTTTGGCTACAGATTTTTTTTAAGTAAATACAGCTAAAGTTCTCAATAAATATAATTATACTAGCAGTTGTAGAAGTATAGTAACTTTTGTTTCATTTCTGCAAGTATCATTTTTGAAGTTAAAATTTCTCTATAATACTAATTCCTAAAAAATAAAGCAAATATTATTATATAGCATTCATTTTACTGTAGGAATAGCATGTAGCACAATGTCTCGTGAGTAGTATGTACTCATAATACTTGAGAACCAAAATAGAATGAGAATTTGTACAATCATGAAATAACTCCTAGATGTGATCATACATTCAAATATGATGATATATAACTCATACTTCATGTTCTGTAAGACAGTGATTTAGGGAGAAATTTTCTCAAAAGATTTTTTAAAAATCCACTAATTCCACCTCTTATTCTTCCTCAGTGGAATCTTTGGTAAAACAGAGGAAATGAGGGCCAGGGATTTAGCTCAGTGGTTCCGTTGCCTGCCTCGCAAGCGGAAGGACCTGAGTTCGATCCCCGGTACCAAAAAAAAAAAAAAAAGAGGAAATGATTTCATCCAATTAATAACATGACTGGTTTGATATCAGTTATATATTATAACTAAAAATTTGACAAAATAAGTATATGTGTCTCATACTTTGAAAATTTCTAATGGTTTTGGGGAGTTTTTTTTCTTTTTTTTTTTTTGATACCAGGAATCGAACTTGGGACCTTGCGCTAGTAAGGCAGGCAGCGGAACCACTGAGCTAAATCCCCGGCCCCTGGGGAGTTTTAATATAATTCAGATTTCTAATTGGTTAACGGTTTTCTTTACTTGGGTTAATGATTTATTACTGTCTATATATTATCAAGAATTCTTATCCAAAAATTTTTCTTTTGATGCTGTTTATAAGATATATGCTACATCAAAATGCAGTCATTATTTGGTTAACATCATAGCCATTTCAAAAGCCAGCATTTTCAAGCCCTCTATTATACTTTTTAAAAAATCTTTATTAGGTATATTTGATCTTTAAAAACTGCACATGATTAAAGAGTGTACCTTGATCAGTTTTTGTATATATATTACATTTTGAAACCATCACCACCATCAAGATAATGAATATATCCATCACCCCCTCAAAGTTTAATCCCTTACTTGTTCTTTACTTCCTTCCTCTGCCTTTTTCCTCCCTCAAGCAACTACATATCAGTTCCTGACATTATAGATTAATTTGCATTTTCCACTATGTAAATGAATTTTATATCTTTTTTGTTTTAACTACAATTTGTATCATTACCTCTTAACACTTGATTCCATTTTAGAGCTATTTCAGATGACTACTTTGAAAATTCATGCACAGGGTTCTTTGTGTGAACATAGGCTTTTATTTCTCTTGTGTAAATGCCTAGAATTGGAAAAGCTGGATCATATGATAGGTGTATGTTTAACTTCTCAGGAAACTGTCCACAAGTTTTCTAGTTCATAGTTTTATATTCCTAGTGGAAATGTTGTAAATCTGTTACTTCACATTCTTACTATCACTTGGTATAGTCAACTTTCTAGTTTTGGTCATTCTCATAGGTATGTAGTAAGAGTTCATATGTCTACTTAAGTGAAATGTCTTCAAATCTTGGATAAATTTTTTTATTAAATTGCACCATGGAAGTTAATAGTTCTTTATTGTAGATAATAAGTCTTATCAAATATGTGCTTTGCAAATACATTCTGTGACTTGTCTTTTCATTCTTTTTCAAGCAGTTCTTTTTTTTTTTTCTTTTTTGGTACCGCGGCTTAAACTCAGGACCTTGCACTTGCAATACAGGTGGTGGCAACACTGAGCTAAATCTCCGGTCCAAGCAGTTCTTACTTTTGATGAGGTCTAATGTATCAGTTTTTTCTGTGTATACATTTTCTTTTTGGTGTTATATTTAAATGTTTGCCTAGCCTAAGATTACAGACTTTCTCCTGTTTTATAGATGTTTTAAGGTCTGGGATCCATTTTAGATTAACTTTTTTTTTTGGTATCGGGGATCGAACTTGGGTCCTTGCGTTTGTGAGACAGGCGGCGGAACCACTGTGCTAAATCCCCAGCCCTCTGTGATCCATTTTGAATTTAAAAAAATTTTTTTGGTACCAGAAGTGGTACACATTTGATAATCAGTGATTTAAGTATTATTTATGGCAGATAGCCTAGTCCAAGTTCTAAATGTGTGACTTGAGCTTCATTGGTCTTCCACTGCTCTGCTTCATCATTTGTTAAACAAAACCTGGATTGATAGCAGAATTGTGCAGATCTATAGTACTAGGGATCACTTATTTTTCAAAATATGCAAACATATTTTTCCCAACTTGTCTACATTAGATGATAAACTTTGGTCATAAAATGTTAGGTGTCATTGAGTATTCTTCTGGAAGCAATAATTCAAGTTTAAAATTCCGTCCATCAAAGACAGAATCCTGGGATTCAACAATGATAACATGGCAATAAAGGATATTGCTTTCATCTGGTTCTGTTTTAATGTCTGGAACTGGTTCTGCCAGCAAATGCTGGATTTTTAAAAATCTTGTCAGGCAGCCCAGCTCTCTTGTCAAATCCCAAATTCAGCCTTTGTTCTTGTCTCCCTATTGAGAGTTTGTAATCAGGAATAGATGGTAGATTTTGTAAATGATTTTTGGGATTTTTTTTTTTTTTTTGCTACTTTTGAGATGATCATGTGGTTTTTGTTAGTCTGTTAATACAGTTTAACAAGTTGATGAATTTTTTGAATGTTGAACCAATTTTGCACTCATGGCAAAAGCCATATTTGATTGTGATGTGTTATCTCTACTATATATTGTTCATTTTTCTTTGTTAAATTTTTTTTTCTTTTTTTTTTTTTCCTCTGTTAAATTTTAAGGAATTTTTGTACTTACGTTCCTGGGGAATATTGAGGGTTATTTTGGGCTTATTTTTTGTTTTTATTTATTTATTTGGTTTTGTGTTAGTATTGGAATTATGACAGCCTCTCTTGGGATGAAGTGGAAAGGATTCTGTTCTGTTTTCTTCAGGTTTAAGGAAGAATTTGTATAAATATGGCATTAATATTTAGGACTCGTTTGCTTCATGTTTACTTTGTTAATTTTATTAGAAAATATTTATTTTATTTCATTAGTGTAGTACTAAGTAGCCTAAGTAAACAGCTTTACACTGTAGAAGCTAGTAACTGCAAATCACAACTGAGTTATGGGGTCTCGGTTAAGCATTTCCTTAGATTTGCTCTTTGACCTGTCCTCATTCTACTCTTGTAATCTCATTTATTAACATGTAGAATTAATGTTGATCATTTAAAGGCTACTACATCTTTAATGAAATAGTACTGAAATCCTGGAATCTAGTAGAACTAACTCTTCTCCAGCTTCTAAGGGAGCTCTGTGGAACTCATATATTATTTAGATCAATTTCTGTATAATCAGTCTCATTCTCAATCTCTCTCTCTTCCCTCCCTTCCCCCCCCACACACAATAATTGCGGTAAAATAAAAATAACAAAATTTATTATTTTAAGTGTACAGTTCAGTATTAAGTATCTTTACATAGTTGTGCAGCCAATACTACTTATTTCCAAGATTTTTTGATCCTTCAGACTGAAACTGTACACACCAAACAAGAGCTTCTTATTTTCCTTCAGTTATCCCAGGTAACCATCATTCTGCCTTATATGTTATGAATTTTAGTGCCTGTAGGTGCTTCATATAATTGTATAATAGTTGTGCTTTTGTGACTAGATTATTTTACTTAGCATGTCCTCAAGGTTCTTTTATATTTTAGCATGTGTCAGAATTTCTTTTTTAAGGTTAAATAATGTTCCAGTGTATATAATTTTGTTTATCCACTTATCAATCTGTGAACATTTGGGTTATTTCCATCTTTTGATTATTGTGAATAATGCTTTGGACATGGGTATCTGTTCAAGTCTTTTTTCAGTTCATGTAAATACATAATTAGAAATGAAATTGCTCAGTCATTTGACAATTGTGTATTTAGTTTTTTGATCCTTGTTATCTCTCAAAATTTCTTTCACTCCCAATATTTGGATTTTTTTTTTTCCCCTTTCTGTAGCTACCTTAATGAAAGTTTTTTTTTTTTTTTTTTTTGGTACCAGGGAATCAAACGCGGGACCTTGTGCTTGCAAGGCAGGCAGCAGAACCACTGAGCTAAATCCCCAGCCAAAAGCACAACTTTTTTCCTCTATAAAACATGACTAAAACTTCACATTTAGGAGACCTTTAAGACTGTATTCAATTGTGATTTTGTTGACTGTGTTGTGTTGTATGACCTTTAACAAAATAAATTTTGTTCATAGAACTTGCAAGTTCTATTTCTCTTTTTGGCTGACCTTGTCCCTAATTCCTTCCTTTCTTCAGGCATGATTGCATGTGACCAGTCCCTTACAATCATCCTCAACTTCCTTGCTGTGTTTGTTCTATATTGTATGTGCTTGAAATTCCCAAACCTGTTCAAATCCAACTCTTTTTCCTGTTGTGTGTTAGTATCCAAGCAACTAAACATAGATGAAGGAAAAACAAAAAAACCATGAAACCATGAAGATTGCCTCATTTAATAGTTATAAGTACAGATTCCAAGTCAATTTAAAACTACTTTGCAATTACATTAAATTACCCTATAGTAAATTTGGTTTTCCATTGTCCACATTTTCCTTCTTTTCTCACACTCTCAGTGTGTTTACCATAGATCCCCATGTTTTGCCTTCTAAATAAGTACAGCCAACATAGATTTAATCCAGTACTCCCAGTATCAATCTATATGTAGGTATTTTGTTCTCCCTGCCCTAACAGTGGATAAACTGTCACTTTTTTGTCCAAAGGTGAAATCTTTCACTTGTACTAATCAAAGATGAAATCTTGCACTGATGCTGTCTGCTCTTTTCTACCCCCGGATATTGGTTCAATTCTTATCTCAACTCCTCATAAATTTTGGGTTTTTTTGGTACTGGGGATCGAACTTGGGACCTTGTGCTTGCAAGGCAGGTGGCAGACCCACTGAGCTAAATCCCTGGCCCAACTCCTCATAAATTTTGACCTCTCAGATTATTCTTTTTGGCATGAATGAATATATTTTAAAATATGACCTTTAAAATTGCTTTTCTATGGCTTTGTGTGACAGAACTAATTTATAAAGTTGCCTTTAAAGTAACTCAAGAAAATTTAAAGGGTGAACTTATTATTTCCTTGTCCATCTCAGTAAATAGTACTTTGATGTATTTACAAGGTATGATAAAAAATACAGTGAATGTTTAAAAAATTTTTTTAATTATTACAATAAAAGATATATTGCCATTAATCCTACTCAGAATATTCTCCCTCATTTTGAACACACTTACGCCATCGTTCTTGTCTCTCTCTGAAGCAGTCCTGGAATTCCTTTTTCATGAGTAAGTGGACTCAAAATGTCATTTTGACTTGCGGAAGAGCCAAAAGTCACATGGAGCCAGACAGTGAATAAAGTGAATGAAGACATGCTATGTTGTTTTTACAAACCTCTACCTTTCCATTGGGTGGTACTTTGCAGCTATATTCACTATATGGGGTGGGGGTCATTATTGGTACATTTTAGATATACACAATGATAACACCTATCATAGGGAATTTGTGCCTGTACATGATATACCCTGCCCCTTCCCTTTTTCCCATTCCCCCTCCCCTTGACCCCCCTTCCCTTCCTAGAAAGCTTTGTATCCAGTTTTCCTTCTGTTTTCACTTTTTTGTGTGTTTCTTTTCCCCCTCTCTCCTCCCTTGTTCCCCTTCCCATTTGAACATTGTCTTCCCATTTCCCAATATCTTTTATACATTTTAGTCCTTATTTCCACTTTTGGTTCTTCACACCAGAGAATGCGGTATTTAAATATGTGTGTCCAATTTATTTCACTTAAGAGTGTGATCTCAAGGTGCAATCAGTGTGGAAATCAATGTGGAGATTCCTCAAAAAACTAAAACTAGAGGTTCCATCTGACTCAGCTATTCCCCTTCTTTGGTATCTTCCAGAAAGAATAAAAAGAATCATACCACAGCAAAAATGCACATCCATGTTTATAAAGGCATAATTTATAATAGCTAAACCTTGGAAGTAACCCGAATGCCCATCAACCAATAAATGGCTAAAGAAGATGTGGGGTTTTTTTATACAATGGGAGACTACTTTGTAATAAAGAAGGCTGAGCTTGAGACATTTATAGCTAAATGGATCCACCTTGAGATTACTGTATTTTTGATCAGCCCTCATAAAGACACAAAAGACTTCCATAACTGCTTCAGAAAGTGGCAAGAATGAGATAAGTATATTCAAAATGAGGGAGTATTTTGAAGAGGATTAATGACAGTGTGACTTTTAATGTAATAAAAATGTTTAAACATTCATTATATAGTATATTTTATCACACCTCAAATCTCCCCTGAATAGGAATCATCTTTTCTTTTTACTCACACTAAGATTATAGTACACTAGCAAAATTTATTCCAATTCCAGTCACTTACCAATATCACTGTTTCTACCACCCAAGTCCAATCCACTACCACTTCTCACTTCAGCCACTGTAGTAGCTTCTTAACTGGTTTTCTGGAAGCCATTCTCATACCCTTTATGTTTTAGTTCACAGAATTTTCAGATGGCTTCTCAGCTTTACAGTAATATCTGTACTGTATTATAGCTTTTAGGACCCTGCATTAGCTGAACTCTGCCTAATTTTCTAATTTCTTCTCCTTATCCAATAAAATCATTTGCCTTGCTCTTGTGAGATTATGGTAGTTTGTCTGATACAGGGTTCAGAATCTTCATTTGTAAGAGATCACCTCAGTTGGTTCTCATAGAGGTCATCTTGATACCACATTATTGAAAAGCAGTTTTAGACAGAGGACTGGAATGTATTTCCACATTAAGAAAGCTTTTTTGAAGTTCATATCTGCTTGATCTTTCCCTCTGCATGTGGAAAGTTTGAAAAGGCTCCCCTGGTGAAAACTGACATGTTCCCTCCATCTCACCATTACCAGCAAGTAGCAGATCCTTCTCTTCTGTGAAAATATCATCTGTTCTGGCCTCCAAGATCTTCAAAACCTAGAAGTGTACACTTAGTGTATTTTAGATACCATGTGGTTAAATTGGATTTTGTCATAAAATTACAAAATTTGTACATTATTATTGGACAGTGGCCTCTTGTTGATGAGCCACAGCCAAGACTTTCCTTAAAGATGACTGTCAAGCCAGAATGTTCATCATACACAGAAATTCTTTTAGTTTGTAAGCAAGTTCCATTTTGGGTTAGAATAGATTTGATAACTTTCTATCTAGTGACTATTTTTGTTTCCATAGGGGTATCTTGGTTTGGGATTATATAAATCTCTTTCAGTTCTGCACTTAAACAGTGTCTTAGTTACTTTTTCTTCATTGGGACAAAATACTTGACCCCACAATTTAAAGGAGGGTAGGTTTAGTTTGGGCTGATAGTTGTAGGTGCTTCTGTCTGTGGTCTGTAGGCTAAATGCAGAAATGGCATGGTAGAAGGGCCTGCCTGGAGGAAAGCTGCTCACTTGGCTCCAAGAAGCAGAGAGAAGGGAGGAGCTCCGCAGAGATAGACCCAGGACACACCCCCAGGGACCCACTTCCAAGCAGGCCCCACCTGCTAATAGCACATTTAACTTGAAACTCATCTCTGGATTAATCACAGTCAGTCACCTTCCAAAAGCCATTGAGGTCTTTGGGGGACACCTCAGATCCAAGCCATAACATTCATCTTAGTTGGCATTTTCAAAAATACTGCCAATGTGATCAGTAGTTAGGCATTAGTAATATTTTTTCTAAACTTTGCAGAAAATAAATCGTATGCTATTTTCAATGGATAATTTTCTTATTTCACAATGAGTTGGGAAGTATTTTATAGTAATTCATTTTAAAACATTGATGGTTAAGGAGGATAAAATATCCAACATTAAACAGTGTTTCTAACTCTTAACAAGTGCCTCCTCTTTCCAACTTTTAATAAACGTTGATTTTTTTTTTTCTTTTATATACTGGGGATCGCACTCAGGACCTTGCACTTTCGAAGCAGGCGTCGGTGCCACTGAGCTAAATCCCTGGCCCAAACAAAGATTTTAATATGGTATTCTTTCCTGAGTTCAAAGTAGGCAGAATTTGTCCCTCATGTAAACTAAATTGAATTAAGGTTTACTAAGCTATCAAAATGGTTACTGATCTGGGTGAGTTAGCATGCCTTCCAAGGTCTCAGGATTCTTCTCTGTAGTCAGTAAACTATAGCCAGCTGGGCAAATCCCACCTGTTTTTTTATAGCCCATAAGCTAAGAATGGTCTTTACATAATTAAAGTGTTGTTTGAAAAATAAGGAAGAATATGCAACAGTGACCCTTTTTGGTCTACAAAAACTAAAATATTTATAATGCTACCTTTTAATATTTATGAAATATCATTTAAGAATTATAATACTAAGAAACGTGGTATATCTTACTTCAATAATTAAAATACCTTGATCCTTTAAAGTTAATTCAGTCATGTATTCTGTTAACTATTTTCATATGTGCAAAAGCAAGTTTGAAAAAAATTTAAATTCCCCTAATTTTGTTTTGCAGATAATTAGCATATATGCAATGCAGTTCCTTTGGATTTGAAATATATAAAAAACTTTTCTTAGAATAATTTATGCAAGTACAACATAAGATTAGCATACATTATGTGTTCTACTACTAAGGTCTTTTGTGCTTTGTTTTCTTCCATTTAGATAGAAGCAGATTTGGGATATCCTGGAGGTAAAGCAAGAATTATTCATAAGGAATCTGATATTATCACTGCCTTTGCTGTTAATAAAGTAAGTATATATACTCTGGTTTCTCTTCAGATCAAATAAAGTAAGTATATAAACACTTTTCTTTTATTGTTAGGTATTCATATTTAAAGAATATCTTGTTTTATCATTTTATTCATTGTCAATGCATCCCTAAACTAATCCCTCTTCTTCAATTATAATCTGAGTTTTTATTTTATAAAATGATTATATTATTTGATAATGTGATTTTATTATTAAATAATATGGAAAATATAGCTAATAAAATACTTCATTACTACACAGAAGTAGCAAATATTTATATATGCAGTAGCTTTAGAATTTATGCAAGATATAACCCAAAGAAAAGAGTTTCTGTATTCCCACTATGAGTATGTTGAATATGATTCTTAATATTTGATAAATTTAAGCTTATATTTGACTCAGAAGTTCTCCCTTTTTGACATACTCCTCCAGTAGGTGTTAGTTATTCTGTTTTCTTAGCCTTCTACTTAACGTCCTACTCAGAGATGTCTGTAACCACCAATAGAAAAGATAGCCCTATGGGCCAGGACTTTAGCTCTGGCACCGCGCCTGCCTTGCAAACACAAGGTTCTGAGTTTAATCCCCAGTACCAGAAAAAAAAAGAAAAGAAAAGATAGCCTTAGGTATAATAGTCCAAGGTTGTCCTTTATATTAGTAATTTCCCCCTTCTGTCTCTCCTAATAGTCTTATTGCATAGTTTCTAGTGACTTTTAGTCAATCTCTTGTTTTCTTTCCACTAATTTAAAAGATAGATGTTATCTTATTTCATGTACTCTTTAAGGATATTAAAGGAAGGTGTGTGCATGCACCTATGCATGTGTTCCTAATTTTGTAATAATTTTAAATGTTATTTAGACGTATATCCTATGGCATTACTCATTCAGAAATTTTTTTACCAGTGGGTTCTTCATCTCCCGAGTAGTGGCAAACCTATGGCACATGTGTGCAGTGGGCTTTTTGTATTATTGAAAGCTCTAAAAGGTTCATCATTGTGGCCCTGTACTGTGCCTGCCTCCTCTTTGATATCTCCTAGACAATGCCTTTGCTATTCTGTCCTCATAATTTTCTATACTGTTTGTCCCATTTCTGTCATAATCACCCTAGAACAATGACTAGTTCTGTTTCAAGCAGGCATATTTGGAATTGGCCCCTTAGGCACTTTTCAGGTTGCAGTTTCTGTATAAACACACACATAACCACACAAACACACATACACACACATACCTTGTAGGATCTACCTTCCTTAAAGAAAATATGCTTTTAAATATTGTATCCTTTAAAAACCTAGCTTTGGGTTGGGCATTTAGCTCAGTGGTTACACTGCTTGCCTGAAAAGCACAAGGACCTGAGTTTGATCCCCAGTACCAAAAGAAGAAAAAAAAAAAACCTAGCCTTTTTTCCTTTGGGGATACACACACGCGCATGCATACACACACACACACACACACACACACACACACACACACATTTTATATATATATATACCTATATATATATATCCATAATCGTCATCCGTGTATGTAAAATCTGCCATTAACTTGTATATTTGTTTAATTCTCCAGATTTGATGCTAGTTTTTCATCCTTGTTAAATTTATAACTAAGAAATTTCTTTTACTATTTTATAAAAAATATCATTGAGGTTGAACGTTTTACTATTTGTTTACTTGATACCTGTCTGTATCAAAAACTGGAAAGGGTCTGAGATTTTACTTTACATTCATACTAACAAGTTAACTTTCACAGTTTACGGGCTGCTCTTTGAAGACTCAAGAATCCTAGATCACAGATAAAAGATATTTATTTATTTCTAACAGCAAGAACAGTAGTCAAAATATCAACATTTTTACACTGGTTGCCTGAACTGCACTTTGCCCAGAGGGACAAAAAGAGGGACAGGGGACAGGGATTTAGCTCAGTGGCGCAGTATCTGCCTCGTAAGCGCAAGATCCTAAGTTCAATTCCCCAACCACAAAAAAAAGGAGAGCCAGATAGTACCTGTACCTACAGTAGATCACATTACAGGAGAGGACCATTGCGTTTAGAGGACCTAGGTTTTTTCTAATAGACAATAAGCGTAACTGCCCTTTGCTCTAGACAGAGAGACTATAGCTATATAATTATCCTGGGAATGATACTGCATAGCAAAGGACAGTATGTGGCTCACAGGACATGCAGAGTTGGTGAGAGCCGTGAAGAATTGTCTCCCAACATTTAGTTAGGTTACTTTTCCAGAATTTAAGTTTCATATTAATTGGTATTGATGCTTTCCATAATAATAATCCTGTTTTCTTTTTGCTGTTAATATCTTCTGATTTCTCTTTGAGATGTACTTTTATTTGTGCCATTGAGCAAACCTAGGGTCTTCCACATGCTACACAAGCACTTTACCACACTGTGTTACATTCCTAGCCTGAGATACACCATTTTAATTGATAGATCCTTAAAATTTTATGTAATTTAATCTGACTAGTTTTCATTTATGATTGCTTCCGGCATATTTCTCCCACTGTTTTTCTACCCTTTCACCTTTTCTCTGTAACCCTTTTCTACTTTTTTCTTGCTTAAGATTAAAAGGCTTTAGAAGAAAATGCTATTATTTTATTGGAATGATTAACTGATATGTCTTAGAATCTATCATCTCCATCACCTTTCTGTAGTCGTCAGAGCTTTTATCTTCTTCAGATCCATCCTCCAAAAAAATATTTTTTTTAAATTTGGATTTTACTATGCTGACCAGGTTGGTCTCGAACTCCTGGCCTCAAGAAGTCCTACTACATCAGCTTCCAGAATTGCTGGGACTACAGGTGCACACCAGTGTGCCCATCCTCTCCACATTTTTGAATTGTGGAAACCTTAGATCATGCCATTCTAGTAGACTGAATAAACAGTTCTGAGGGAGGAAAAAAAATGATGCATGCATTGCTATGTTTAGCTGGCTTTCTGTTAGATGGCCTGAAATTCCTAGATCATGACTATATCTCCAAGTTGAACTTCATTATTTCACTTCAAATTTAGTTGATAAAGTTAGTTTAAAATATTAACTTATAAGAATGCTATCATTCTGCATTTTGGTTATTTCTAGAGATTGTTTTCAGAAATAACTCATATACCCATTGTGCCTCTTTATTTCACAATTGTCATATTATTTATTTTTCAGGCAAATAGAAATTGCATAGCAATCGCTTCCAGCCATGATGTTCAAGAACTGGATGTTTCTGGAATTCTGGCCACACAGATCTATACTTGGGTAGATGATGATGTAGACTTGGAAACCAAAGGGTACCTTTATACTTTGTTTTTATTCAGTAATGTAATATGAGTGATTACATTGTGATTATAAACTTTAAGTTTTTTAAAAGGCATACTCCTAACATAAGTAGAATAGAAGCTATGATATGCTAAAGAGTAAATAAGGGATAGAAGGAGCTTTAAAAAGAGAAATGAGAGAAGAGAGTAAGTGAAGATGGAAATTGGATGTGAAAGTCATAGTGAGTTAGGAGTGGGAGCTGAAGAAAAATAATTGTAAAGAGAAATACAAAGTCAAATGTTAAAGCTTTCAAGAGTTAAAAAGAAAAGAACTGGTGGATTGTTTTGACTCTGGTTGACTCCTTTGTAGATCAGAAGATTTCTTGGTTATACATGCTCGTGATGATCTGACAGCTGTTCAGGGTACGACCCCGTATACGCACAGCAACCCTGGGACTCCTATCAACATGCCATGGCTTGGTAGTACACAGACTGGCAGAGGAGCATCTGTGGTATGTAAAGTTGGAGATAATTAGGTATAACTGTACTGTTTTTCCCTTTAGGTAAATGGATAAAGGATGATTGAAAGCTTTTTAAATTCCTACAGTGTTAGTAAATCTTATGGAATTGTAATTTTTTTTTTTTTTTTGGTACTGGGGATCGAACTCGGGACCTTGTGCTTTCGAGGCAGGCGCCGGAACCACTGAGCTAAATCCCCAGCCCAGAATTGTAAATTTTTATAATAAAGAATAATGTTTTCATTTGAAAGAGTAACAAAAATTGATTTTAAAATGTACTTTGTTTTAAACCAAAGAACTATATTTTAGGGGGAGGGGGTTGTTGTTTGGTTTTTTTTCCAGTACCAGGGATTGAGTTCAGGACCTTGTGCTTGCCAGGCAGTTGTAATGCCACTGAGCTACATCCCTACCCGCTTTTGTTTTTGGGAAAGAACTATCTTTTATTTAATAATTATTTGAAATCTAGTGCTCCATATCAGGCTTCAGCAAGCTGTGGCCTGTAGGTTAAACTGACAATTGCTTCTTGTAGTAGCAGTGTACTGCATTGTTTGTTTTGTGGTGCTGGGATCAAACATGGACTCGCGCATCCTAGGCAAAGCTCTATCCCTGAGCTACATTTTAGCCCTAAATCTTTCAATAATTTCAAAAGGTCATGGTAATTTTTGGCACATGAAAATTATATGAAATTCAGTTTCAGTGTCTATAAATAAAGTTTTATGGAAACAGCCAGGATCATTCACTTATATTTTTGCCTGTAGGTGCCTTTGTCTGAAGTGACAAAATTGAGACAGAAACTATATGCTCATAAAGCCCATAATATTTACCATCCACTTGTTTATAAGAAAGATTTGCTAACTCCTAAATTAGGATCATTTAGTGGACATCAACTAAAATCTGTTTTAAGTGTGACTTTTTTTTTGGTACCAGGGATCGAACTCAGGACCCTGTGCTTGTGAGGCAGGTGGCAAATGTGACTTTTCTTAATGTTGAGACAAATACATGCTTTTTTAAACAAAAGCTATGTAAATATTTTTGAAATTAAGCAGAATGTGATATAAAGATGAATTGATATGAATTTTGTCTGTAGTAATGTAGGATCTATTTACCTAAGAGGTGATCTATATCTAGATCTCCAATATTTTAATTTATTGATACTTAGAATATAAGAATCGATATATAGAATTAAGGAAACCCATACATTCTGTCAGTGGCTTTCTAGGTGACAGTTACTTTTTGTTTTGTTTTTTAATTTTGTAAGTCCTAAAGATTTTTTTTTTTTTGACCAACAAAATAATGTCCTGTCATCAGTTAGTGTGGATAATTGTTCAAGTAAAGGATTAATCATCTGTTTAATACCTTTTACTGCTTGATGACACTTACTGCAGTTCCTTTATAACTAATACAAGCTTGTAAGTAATTTTCTATTACAATTATTTTGTACTCTTCCTTACTCATTCTTCAGGTTAAGCTAGAGATGCAGAAAGGTTAAGTGACTCGGGCCACTGGGTTGAATTTGTGACAAGAACTTGTTTTCATTGTTTTGTTTGCATTTATTAAAATATGTTGCAGGGCCAAGGATTTAGCTCAGTGGCACTGCACCTGCCTCGCAAGTGCAAGGTCCGTCCTGAGTTTGATCCCTGGTACCAAAAAAATAAATAAAATATGTTGCAGTGCATGATATTTACATACATTTAGGGAGTAGGTACGTGTACTTAACATATCTTGATTCTTTTTATTCCTCCCTTCTCACTTTCCTTTCTCTGTCTCTATATCCCTTTTTTCTATTTTCATTAATATTATTTTTTTAATTTTATGTTTGTGACTTATAATATTCATGTGCATAGGTTGTACATGTATGTGATGCATCATTAATCTTTTTACATCCCTTTCCTGTCCTCCACAACTGCTTGGCCTTTTGGGCCTTATGGTGCCCTTCCTATTTGCAAAAGATCTATCGTCCTGTTTCCTTTCATCAGTCTTTTATTTTGCTCTTTATTTATACGTTGGATTACCTGAAAAGTCATATGATATTTAAGCTTGTGTGTCTGATTTATTTCACTTAACGCTGTGTTTTCAAAGTGTAATCATTTTCCTACAAATGTCTCAAATTTATCCTTCTTTTTAGTTAAATAGTATTCCATTATGTACAGATAGCACATTTTTATCCATTCATCTGTTGATAGACATATAGACTGCTTCCAAGATTTAGCTATTATGAATTGTTTTGCTATATACATTGTTATGCACATATCACCGTGATACGATGCCTTCTAGGTATCTTTAAAGATAGCTGGAAAGGGAATAGCTGGGTCAAATGGAATTTCTATTTTTAGCCTTTTGAAAAATCTCCATACAGTTTCCATAAGGATGTACTACTTTACAAAAGGAGCCCTTCTACACTGTTAGTGGGAGTATAAACTAGAGCTTGTTTAAAACTCTTAAGTCCTCTTGGTTCAGTGACTTCAAGTGGCAGTGTTTTCAGGATTAAATTGAATTTGAAAAGCAACCTAGTAATTATTCAAGTGAAATGACTTTGTGAATATAATCATTTTTTCAGTTTATGGATATTTTCAAATTTGTGAAATTTACACATACTATAATATTTTAAAGAAAAATTTAATGAGAATATACTTTTTTTCAACTCTAGCCTCAGAGAATTTCTTCCTGTAACAGCTTTCTTGCTTATTCTTGCTATGTCTATTCTATGCAGAGCAGTGCATGTTTCTAAAACATTTAGATTGTCACTCTTCCTTAAAAATTTCAAGGGCTGGGGATTTAGCTCAGTGGTTTCGCTGCCTGCTGTGCAAGCACAAGGACCTGAGTTCGATCCCTCGTACCAAAAAAAAAAACCATGGCGTTTAAGGCCCTGTAAAATTTATCCCCTGTCTTCTGTTTGGGGTTGAATTTTCTTCCTGTCTAAATCTTAAAAGGACAGCTGTTTAGTTGAGGTCATTGTGATTTGTGAACTGAAGTATTGTGATTGCTCTATTCCTCTGTCAAGAAAAAGATACCAATAGAATAAAGTTGCTCTTTTATTTTTTTTTGGTACTGGAGATTGAACTCTGGGCCTCGCACTTGCCATGCAGGCACTGTGCCTGTTGAGCTATATCCCCAACCCTAAAGTTGCTCTTTTTTTATACGAATCTTCTAAAATAATTAATGATTTGTCGTGTGATATTCTACATATCCTTTCAGAAAAAAATTTTAACTGGCATAAATTTTTTTTTTAACTCCTGATTTTCCTTTGATAGGCAAAAGCATGATAAAGAACAGGAAACTTTAGGGCATACTTTAAGAATGTGAGATATTTTGGGCCAAGGATTTAGCTCAGTGGTTCCACCACCTGCCTTGCAAGCACAAGGTCCCGAGTTCAATCCCTGGTACAAAAAAAAAAGAGAGAATATGAGATTTAAATGTGAAAGTAAGAAATACCAGGTTTTCACTTTTTCCTAGAGATCTGATAAAATATTTTCTTGATTTTACCATTTATTGAATGATGAATGCTAGTACAAAAAAGTGTATTTGTTATGACCACTTTCTGCTATTCGAGAGTATAACGACATATCCGTATGGGTCTTTGAGTTTTTCTGTTCCTCATCCTGCTCTCCTGGCTGCCTCTTTCCTCCTACCAATTCCTCACCTTCCCCAGTTTAGGCTAATTGAACAATTCAGAATACAAAAGAACAATGGCAGAAATCTACCTGACACTGATGCCACAAACTTAGAATAACATATAAATATAGTTATGGTGTTGATAAGTAGGAAATACTGTACAAATTTAAAATTTCCCTTTCTGTGTATTTATTTTTCTCAGGTTGGTCAAAGCATGATTTAAAAATGAGTAATCCCAAACTATCAGTTTAAAACTTCTTTAATTTTCTGTTTTTATTCTTACCCATCTTTTAAACCTCATACTATTTGTGCTTATTCCAATAAATTTAATACGATCAGAAAACAATTGGCAAAAAAAGAGGTAAGACTAAATTCTTGAGGAGAATTTGGTCTTAGATCATAGACAGTGATATGGAAAATATGTAGATATCAGAGCTATGCCATTAAATTCTATTAATACGTTGAGTATGCTTATTGGCCATAATGATAGTTGTAAAGTCATGTAAAAATAAATTAATGTAATTTAGATTTCATGTCACTATTTGTTTGTTTTTGTGGTTCTGGGGATTAAACCCACGGCTTCATATATGCTAAGCAAGCACTCTACGACTGACCTATGCTTGTACATTGTATACTCCCTAGCCTTACAATTTATGTTTTTAATCCTGCTTTTCAATGTAACTACAAAATAATTTTTTTTACCAGATGATTAAGAAAACCATTAATAATGTCAGAAGAATGACTTCTCATCCAACTCTTCCTTACTGTAAGTTATCAGTAATTAGCAGTTATTCTTTATTTTTTCTCTTAATTTTGGTATTTTAAAGAATTTATGGGAAACTTTTAGTTTCAATTGAAGGGCAACATTTATTCTACCTTATTTTTTTACAGAAAATGTTTGCTAGTAAATAATATTTCATTTCAAAAATTGTATAAAAATAGAAAAAAATTTCCTAGGGCAAGCTGACTTAATGCAGTAAACTTTTGGCATTTTGCCCACATATTGTAATTGTAAGTGATAATTATTGCTTTACTAATAAGATCACTGGCATCTTTTATTGCATAGACATTGGTCATTTGCTGCTTAATTACAATCTTTTTCTTTTCTGGTACCAGCGATCAAACTCAGGACCTTGTGCTTGCCAGGCAGGCGCAGCACTGCTGAGCTACACCCCCCACCTGCTAATTATTTTATACTTAATTAATTTTTGTTAGTTTGTCTTCATGTCAGCCATACTAATAGTAAGGACAGAAAATGGTGATTAGTAAATTCTTATATTGCCTGCAGGGTATGTTTTTTCAGTAATTCTTCCTAGAAATCTCAAAAATTTCTCTTCATTTTCCCAGAACTTAATAGGGAACTTACTGGAGATACTGATTAAATGGTAGGTTGGAAAGAATATTCACCCATTAGTATGTAAATATTCCAAATTTTCAAAATTATTGTTTTTATATCATGCCCTTCTTCAAATTGTCCTACCACACAGTAACACGACTAGAGCATGTTAATTAGGAGGTATTTGTGTCCCTTCAACTTAATAATCTGTGAAAAATTTTACCACCTTTTCTCATGGGAGAAACGCTAATAAAATACAGTTGATAAAAATCAGTGTTCTGTTTAATTACCCTAAGTGCCATAAGCATCTTTTATCAAGATTATATACTTTGTCCACAGAAAGGCTCAAGAAACCATTTTTTTTTTTTTGGTACTAAGGATCGACTCGGGTCCTTGCGCTTGAGCAGCAGGCAGCTAAACCACTGAGCTAAATCCATGGCCCCAGGAAACCATATTTTAAATGAAAACAGTGACTTCTCATACTAGAGATAGAAAAGACTAGTCTGTTTTCTATACATTAAATTTATTCAGCCTTAGAGGTATGTTTTTTTATGTGTAAGTTAAATGTGAAGTGATAAAAGTCTGCATAGTAAGGATTCCAAATGGATTTTATGTATAAAGTTTAATAATATTTCCACAGCAAGAAATATTTGGCATTGCTTTAAACTATTTTATTATAGAAGACTTTGTAAGTTTCCTAAGATATTGAAGGGACATGATTTTGTCTCAGCCTCATATCATGTATCCTAACAGCTGAATAGTTTGCAGTGAATATTATCTACCACAAATCCATAAGTTTAAATAAAACTCCAGCTTCAAAGGCTATTTTGGACTTATTTTCAGAGATATTAGGTAACACTAAATTACTACTGTCTTAACATTTATTTTCTGTGTTTAGAGAACTACCATAACTGGCAAATAAGAGAATTGAAAAATTAAAAACTAATTAATCACTGGAATTTGTTTTTCAAAGATATCTTTTCTTGTCTTGAGTAAGCCCCATAATTAATATTTAGTTTAGCTGGGGATTTAGCTCAGTGGTTACGCCGCCTGCCTTGCAAGCTCAAGGACCTGAGTTTGATCCCCAGTACCCGCCCCCCAAAAATAATAATTTAGTTTAACAATAAGTACACTTTATGTAATGAAAATGTTAGAAGATAGGATTTTTAAAACATCTTACTCTGAAGTTCAGGTACTTACCTCTTTTTCCCTTAGAGTACTTTTTTTTTTTTTATAGACAATACATAATTTTAATTGAAAAGGGGCATTAGTGGAACAAATGACAAATGTTTGAATAATGTCTGAAAATTATATAGTAGTATTTTGCAATAACATTTGTTTTTTTGTTACTATTCTATGATTGCATGAAATGTTATTATTTGGGCAGCCTTAGAAATTGTACTATTTTTGCCATTATAAATTCAAAATTATTTCAAAATGAAAATTTTAAAAATTGGAAAGTAATAATTGAGTTTTTGGATTTTTATATTAACTGCTAACATCCATTGCAGTTATTTCATTAAGAATTTAAGATTAACTTTGGATTTGATTCATGCCCATATTTTAGCATCACATGGTCATTATTCCGCTGAAATTTTGCTATCATTCTACTTTCTGAAAAGAAGTCTGCCACAATTATTTTTTTTTCACTTTATTAAATTCTTTTATTGGTACATTGTAGGTATAAAACACAATTACATTTCTCATTGGGAATTGTACCTTTACATAATGCATCTTGGTTCTTATTTTTTCCCCATTCCTAGCCCTCCACACCCTCCACCCTTCCCTATTTACAAAGACTTTATTTCCATTTTTTCCATTTCTCAGCATTTTTCCTTTCCCTTCTT